GCTCATATGACGACGTGCATGCATGTGTATGTGTATGTGCGGCTGCTTGTACTAGCCCAGACTGAAGCTGGTTTTATAGTGCTAGCCCACTGAGATGCCACGCCGCAGTGAAGCATGAACACCCCACTCAGACACATTATACTGACTCCGATCCGACCAGTCCTTGGTGTAACCCATTAATGCCAAGCGCCAGGCAGGGACCAACAAGTACCATATTTAAACGTCTTTTTGGTATGAAGCAGTCGGGGATCGAACCCGCGACCTTCCGCTCTCCGGGCGGACGCTCTAACCACTACACCACGGAGGCGGTCCAGATCAGTATGTAGATTTATCTGGAAGATATTACGGACGTTAAGAATAGAGGTTTGCTGGCAGTGCATTGGCAGGAGTACTCCCAAGCAGTCAGCAATAGCATTCCTATTTCGGAATATTATGTTCTACCGGTAGGGGATGTCATGCATATCCTTTTCTGTGACACTTAGTGTCATCTTTTATTTCTGTGATGCAGGGCGGTCCGGTAGCTTAGTGATTAAAGCGTTGGCTCGTCACGCCCTCATGGGTACAATGTGTGAAGCCCATTTCTGGTGTTCCCCGCCGTGATGTTGCTGGAATATTGCTTAAAGCGGCGTAAAACCAAACTCAGTCAGTATTTCTGTGATGCAGTCAGAAATGTTTTCTTTGTCTTTTTGCCCCAAGGAACCTGTTTTCTGAAAGGCCGGAATGTTTTTCAGGTGCTTTTATGTCTATTTGTAAATTACGAAATTAATGAAAATGTCAATAAAGGATAAAAAATGAGTAGCGAAAGAGTATGAAAAGAAGCGTATGCTAGTAAATGTGGCTGAGGTCTGATGAAAGTAATTTAGTTCCTCGGGAACATTTGTTATATCAGGAAATTAAGGAGGCATATGGAACGGAAACTCTCACACATCTTCCCAGCTAACAATAGTGATTCGCTCATTAGGCAATGCTTTGGTCACATTTAAGATGCGTCACAACAGATGTGCGTCTGAACGTCTTGTCCAGAAATCGCAGTCGCCTGAACTGTGAACGGGACCTGAGAAACAACATTCCACCAAGAACAGCTCTGATGACCCAATGAAGTTATTATGTCTTCTTGGTTGGGATACAGTTTCGGCGTTTCTTTCGTGCTATGGCTCCTGTTTATATCGGTAAGCACATACACTCTTACTAAAGCTTTGGAGATATAAATCAATCACCTAGAGAATACAGGTTAATATGAGACGCATAATAGAATCCCGCTACACTGTGATAGTTGGGACGAGGACATCGTTTCATGATGAAAGAGCAGAGGCAAGCTGTCATGGGCACTATCTACGCACGCACACACACATATCCATTAGTTCTCGATCAGGTTGTGGTTCTATCTTGAGACAGGCCGAGTAAGTGAGTTTAGTTTAACGCCGCGTTTAGCTATATTCCAGCAATATAATGGCTGGGTACACCCGAAATGGGCTTTTAAATTGTACCCCTGTGGAGAATCGAACACAGGTCCTCGGCGTGACGAGCGAACGCTTTAACCACTAGTGTGCCCACCGCCCATACAGGCCGAGAGTCAGTCAGCAAAATTAATACATAGTTATTTTAGGGAAGTCTGTACTACCGCTAGGGTAGGACATGCTTACCCATTCCGGGAACACCTGGTGTCATCACTGATTTTCAGTAATGCATTCTGATAATCTGTTAGCTATTTTGTGTTTCACTCCTCACGCAACCTCATTTTGGGGCGTTAGAGATGTTATGTTGTATGTAATGTTTTTCCAGGTGTCTTTCGTGTCTTTTTACTAGTAACAGAATAACTGCACATGTCAATAAAACATTGTAAATGGGTATGAAAAGTAGCATGGGCTAGCAACTGTTGCTGAGGAAATCGGTCTGATGTGAGTAATTTAGATCTGTATTTATATGGTTTCAAACATCTCAAGACATGAATCAGGCCAATACTTCAGGGGTCACAGGTAGGCTAGACACAATTGCCTGTCACACTTCTGGAACCATCTCTGAGATGGTGGACACTCCACACCTGAAGGCATACGCAAGGGACCCATAGTTCTCTCCAACCTCAAGGTGCCTAAGTGTGACTCCCAATTTCAGTCCAGGTGAAAGAGTTTGCCTGAAACTGGTGACTTCCCTATCGATTGCTGGGGCCACCATCTGCAAGACTTCATCGAAGGGCTGTGGTGTTAACCTTGTGTAGTTATGGAACGCTACTGTATCCTCCAGCCTCAAATGGGTGTCTAGGAGGCTAGAAAGCTGTCCAAACTGTTATCCCCTCTCCTCTATGAGGCATGGCCGCACCCGGGAGTGCCTGACTGCAGCTCTCCTGGCCCTTTGTGGTTGGATTTGTAGCTGGTCTGGCTGCTGCTCGTCTGTCATTTGGATTTCTGCTTTAACATCGGCCATTGACTTGTCCATATCTCTGGTGCCAACGGTTGGAACAAAGGGAGAATTTATTGTATTTGATTTCGCACATTCAACATTGGTTTGATGTCCCCTGGTTTTCAGATGCTTAGTGATGTACTTTACCCGAATGTGCAGTGCTAATATCTGAATGATAGTATGAACAATGTACATACTTTGGAATAACCTTGGTCCCTTTTCACAAAGCTCTCGTAGCGCTACAACTATCGTAAGTCATTGTTACAGTATAGTAAGTATGAATGCTACGAGAAAAGTTACGAGCTTTTAGGCTTACGAGTGGTTTGTGAAACGGGGCAAAGGTCTTGGTTATTCCTGGGGTACATGTACTTGTTTGGAGGTTTTATATTAAATCCCTGTTGAACAAACCGCAATATGGGTGTACAATCGTACTTGATTATACAAAATCGTAATAAATACTCCAAAATACGCCAGGTAGGCATTCTTCTTCACAACAAATATCTCCAGAATAACGTTTGACGACATGACGGTAAAAACACTAAACTGTCAACTCCTGGACAGTAAAATCACAACGCAATGGACAGTTTAATTTGTTTGCTAAATGTGAGCAAATCCATATCAAATGTACAGTTTGATTTTTCGACGATAACTGAAGAAATACTGACGCATTGAAGCCTATTCTCCGAATGAAGACCTAAAATAACTATATTTAAGAATTGACAGCAAAAGAAGGCGTGTCTGCTGATGAGATTGTCACATTTCGTGTTGAAACGATCATTTTCCGCGATCTTGTTTCGACACTCAGGAGGGTGCCCTCGCTTAAAGCACAATTGCAATAAATAGAGAGGGTATCAAGCTATTACAGATAGTCTGTAAATTTCTAGACCCGTCTGCCAAATGGCCAAAACCTGATATACTTGCAAAACAATGCGAGGGAAAACTTACCATTCTTCTTGCTCCACACGTTCTTCTTTCACTGTCCAGCGAGGAAATGGAGTTGCTTTTGGGGCAACTCCACATTTCGCGTTGACAGCGCTTCCACCCTGTGGATATTATCAGATTTGGTTGCAGTATCACGAGCTTGACCCTGAGCAGTATATATGGTCAAAATGTTGCCCCAAAACACTTCATGATTCATTCCAGGACATATATAAGTTGAAGACTTGCACACTCTATGTCAGATTCCTAAATATTCAACTTGTCAAACTACGAAGTCTTCAATTCGATGAACAGCGCAAGCTCCGAGATCTGTGTTGCCACTAGAGACAATGAGTAACTCTTTTCGAGTTAACATGGTTGAACTTTAAAGTGATGAAAGTTGAAACAAACTTTCGATATCCCGGAAGAGTATGTCGTATGCATGACGGCGTGGTTACAGCGACATCATGTGAAGATTTCATTTGGTGTGGTAAACATTTTCTGAGCATGTGTGAATATAAATATGCATGGAAAAAAGTGTTGCAGTACCACATATTTCCATATCAAAGGAGCTTATTCAAAGATCAGTGTAACTTACGATCTGAATAACTGGAATAATTAGACGACAAATCTAATAACGCATAAAGAATTAAAAACTGTGGTTTTACTCAGAGAAACAAACTTTGCAACACATTGACTCATTTCGTAGTGCTGATAACTATGATTAACCTTAACATGTTCAAGATTCTGTTCATACAATCCTTACGAAATTAAACAAGTATCAATAACCGAGAACAATGACTGTATCAGGCGTTGATTTTGACGTTGAGATATTGGGTTCTATTCTTGATTAGGGGTTGTTCTAATACATCAAGGTTATGTACTGGAGGATCTCTCCGGCATGTTCTGCAACCAATAGTGTCCCAAACATGCTCTATGGTATTGTGATTGGACTGGTGGGCTAAGGAAGAGACACCTCCTCTTCATGTAAGGAAATCACAAACGGCACGTGCTTGATGTGGCCTAGAATTGTCGTCCATGAAGACCGGCCTAATGTTCAGAGGATGGTGATCAAAATGGTCCAACAACCCTGTCTCAGATGTGAGTGACCAGTGGTCCATTCAGATTTTGTCTAATCGTCACAAGGTCAAGTGTACAGTCCCGTGGGAGGACCCCACAATATCAAAGAACAGTTTACAGAAAAACTTGATATTTGCTTAATGACGGGTACACGTATTACACGTGATGCTCAACTTTGATCCCAGCACGTGCATATCTAAGACCAATGTATGGGGCTCACAAAGGATCAAAATAATCGCACAAACAAACATAATTATGATATGGATACATGCGGCTACATGCGGGTTGCGATACTTTTTTTCATGTGTATGTTTACAAACTGATCGGATGTAGGCATATTGTTTACAGAATGTTATGCTTGTCCTTACTTAGTCTTTTAAAACCACCTAACTGTGATCCATATTAAAGCAACAATTCTACATAAACAAACAGCCAGTAAAGGGTATCGATGGCTGTACCAAATCTTCCATGTCTAGCTAGTACTGGTACATAAAATATACTTACTGGGAAACCATTTGTTTTTATATCAGCATTAAAATGTCCGTACTGGAGCATCCGATGAGACCACAAAATATCCCTTTATGTTATGGACTTTCACCTTTCAGCAGGTGAAGAATGAAGGCAAGTTGAACATTAAGTTCATCAGATATTCGTCAGACGGAACGGACAACAATGGGTTTTGCAGTGAAACGTGGAAAGGACCACCATGCAATGATACATGTGATCCAATGTTTACCCTGTGCGTTAAAGAGTAGGTATCTAACTATTGTATTACCAAATTGTTTTTATGGGAATTTAAAGGCACTATTTCACACCACACTTCTCTAGATATAAATAAGTCATTCCTCTCAATGATACTATCAGCCCTCGGGGAAGCTACAATATATTTTATTCCCCCCCCAAAATACATATTTTGATTACAATATTGAATTAAAAGTTCGAATGAATTAATGCAGCGTTGCATTAAATCCCCTTTCGCGCTCTACCGGCCGAACATTATTTCAAGCGAACCCCATAGAGTTATGTCCCTTGGAGCGCTCTTTACGAATATCCTATAACGCAACTTGTGATTGAAACCAGTTTGGCAAACACCAACAACACCGCGTGCGGCAGTTTTCGATATACGGTACAATTGTCTACAAGTGGTCTCTGTTTGGAAGTTGTTCGCCTCTAAGTTACAAATATCTGTTTCACACAAGTCGTCTTTGATTGCATCAATATGAAGCTAAAGTGAGAGCATATGTCCCAATATGTATAATACGAACCAAAATATTGTCGAAAATGTGTGACATTGTGCCTTTAAGTCCAAGCAGTATCAGTTCCAGTACTATCTCGCCTCCGTTTAGACAGGATATATGATCCAGGAGAATTGAGAATCTTAAAGTTTGGTCAATCTTTTTCCACTGGGGAATTGTTCGTTCTTAATATGTAACGTACGTAACATCGTTGAAAGAAGACGTTAAGTCGATTTCTTCTAGTTGTGATAAACTTGATAAAACAGTTAACCTTATCAAATCGGATATATAGAACATGAAACAAACTAGCGAGACTATGTATATGGATTTTGACGCCATTTCGGAAAAGAAGGATTACATTGACGAACGCATGACCAAAATTGACGACGACTTAGATACACTTGAGCTATTAGTCGATGGCGTGTAAAGAAACTGTGTTGTCTACATTTGACAAATACTTGACTTTTAAGACATGGCTATTGTCTGATGTGATTCGTGCACACCGCCTTGGCGCTAAACGTCAACAAGCAACAAAACCACGTCCCATCATTGTGAAACTCGCACAGTCAAATGAAAAGGTCCGAGCTCTGAAATCGAGACCAGTCCTCAAGGAGAATGGTCTTAGAATTTCGCTCAACTTGACGACACGACAGAGAAAACAGTTACAAGCCCTTAAGGAAACCGGTAAATTCGGATACTTTAAAGACGGCAAACTCATAACGGTAGATCGTGAAGATTCCAGTGAGTTCACACGTAGTCAGATTCAAACACGTCAACGCAAGCGGCAACCGGCAACCGACTCTTCACGTAACAGAAGCAAGACGCCTTCTCGTTCGGTACGCCCATATGGCAGCGGCCGAGGCCCGGTTATTATTTCACAAGGATCTATCGACAATGAGCCGCAAATACTGACTCCGAGAGTGGTCTCGTGACTCACAACACCACTGTCTCCCTTTTGTGCTGGAACGTTAACGGTTTGAGGGACAAAATAAACGACTGTGAATTTTTAGTTTATCTTCGGAAATTCGAAATAGTATGCCTTGTTGAGACGTTTGTTATCGACATGTCAAATATGAATTGTTTGGACGGGTATGACGTTTTCTATAGCCCAGCAGTAAAACTATCTGGTTTTGGTAGACTTTCTGGTGGTGTATGTGTTTCTATCCACCATTCTATAAGCAAAGTGTGCACTTTACTATCGCCATTAGTTGACAATTTGATCTTCTTTAAACTGCCTAAAAAGTTATTTTCAGTTGCAAAAGATATCAACTTAATATGTACTTGTATCCTACTCTTGGGTTCGCCGTATTATTCTAACAGAGATCATAAATGTAACATTGAACAAATCGAACAGTTTCGTATTAAACCCTTCCAGAAGTCAGTGATTCATTCACAATACTCTGTGGAGATATGAATGCACGCCGAGGCGAGCAAAATAACCATTACGTTAGTTTTGATGATGACATCGGAAATGAACATCTAAAATATAGTGAAGAAGGGGATAACCCACTCGATGACCGCAAATCTCATGATAAAGTTGTAGTTTTGGTCGTACTTTATTAGATATGTGTTATGCACTTCAATTGTTTATTGTAAATGGCAGAACTTTTTGAGACAGGCTGGGAAAATATATTTTTTGTAGTCATCAGGGTTTTAGCGTGAACGACTATATCATTCGTTCACAGGGTTTTTCCCAGTATATTGAGATGTTTAACATTGGAGATCGCATTGACTCAGACCATTTCCCAATGAAGTTGACTTGTAAATTTCCACATGTAAACAATGAAAATGAACTAACCGATGGTTGTTATGATAAAGAAAAAAAAGTTTGGAATGATTATCTATGTAAATACTTTGTCGATAATTTATCTGATAAAATGCTGTCCTGTTGTCAACATTACTTACAATGCTTGATATTGACTTAGATGGTGCTATTGATGAATTTGTACATATGATTTTAACCTCGTCCGCCTGTATGAAGAAAAAGGTTAATGCTCAACATGTTAACAGTAATAGAACGCCTTAACTGAATGCGGTGCATTTCGGTGTAAACGCACAGATTCGAATAGAACGCAATATTTCAAAATGAGAAATAAGTTTAAGAATTGCTGTAGGAGATTTAAAACTAAACTTTGTAAACAAGAGCAAAACAGACTCAACAGTTCGATCAAATGTCCTTCTAAATTCTGGAAAGACATACGCTCCTCACAAAACCGACCGCACCATCCAAATTCTATTCCTAAAACTGAATAGCTGATAAATGTTAAGAAAGTCTTTTCGAACGAGTCCGTATTTGATATCGATTAAGATAACGATGTTTTAATGGATATGTTTAGTTCACCATCAGAATGTTATATGGATGTGGATAAATTTATTAATCACCAATATTAGAAAATGAAATATCCAATGCTACATCACATTTAAAAACCGGGAAATCAGCGGGCCCTGATCATATCATCATAGAAATGATAAAATATTCGGAATTCGTAATCATGTCATTTCTGATAAAATGTTTCAAAAGACTGTTTGATAATGATATGTTTCTAACTAGCTGGTCTTCTTCAATTACAATTCCTCTACATAAGAAGGGGAACTTTGATGATCCTGATAACTATAGAGGCATTTCACTTATGAGTATTCTTGGTAAAATATTCACAACTGTATTGAATAATAGAATTATAATTGGCCAAATATGCGGGATTTAATCCCAGAAACTCAGGCCGGTTTTCGAAAAAATTATTCTACTTCAGATCACATTTTTACATTACATGCAATAATTTAAAAATGTCTTTCACGCCGAAAACACAAATTGTATATAGCGTTCGTCGATTTTAAAAAAGCATTCGATTCTGTTGATCGTTCTGAATTATGGTATTGTCTGCTAAAGACCGGATTACGAGGGAAAATATATTCTGTTTTAATATGTTCTGTATTTTAATATAAAATCATGTTTACGGTGTGGTGATGATTTTACGGATTATTCGCGGATATGACCCGGATATGACTGAAATACTAATGCTACATTTTGCTGATGATGTCATTTTAGTTTCAGACACTATTGTAAGATTACAAACTCAACTTAATATTTTGAGACGTTACACAAAAGAATGGAAGTTATCGGTTAATTACGACAATACAAATATTGTCATTTTCAGAAGGGCTGGGTCGTTATCCGTAAATGAAAAGTGGGTACTAAATAGGATACATCTTTAGATTAATAGTCATTAAAAATATCTTGGTCTTTTGTTTACCCACACAATGCACTCTTCTAAAAGCATATAAGGTTTGGTATCAAGAGCAAGGAAAGCCTTATTCAACGTTACGTCTATTTCATATAAAATTGGAATTACCTCACCTAAAATATTTTTAAACTCTTTGATTTGCAGATACAACCAATAATGTTATATGGATCTGCACCAAACTGTAAGATTTACGGCGAATGTGGAAGACACCCATTATATATAAATTCTCATGATGCTTAGATGCTTGAAATACTGGATAAAACTTATTGGTTTGATTGAAAATAGAATTCCAAAGCTGGCTTATAATAGGCTTTTACATTTCGACAACATCTGTAAAACTACATGAGCATCCCATGTAAGAAGCATATTGTTTGCTCATGGTTTTGGTTTTATTTGGATGAACCAAACCATTAGAAATATCAGTCTCTTTTTATATAATTTTAAATACCAAGCTATTGATATGTTCTATCAGAATTGGCATTCTACCCTTCACGACAGCTCAAGGTATGATTGCTACAGGACATTTAAAAGTTTACTTCAGCCTGAAAAATATTCTTAAGACTTAAGAATTTATTTTATCAAATTTAGACTTGGTTTGTTAGATTTAATGATAAACGAAGGCAGGAAAATGTCCAAAGATAAAGGAGAATTTGTCCGTTATCTAAATCCGCAGTTGAGGATGAAATCCGCTTTATGCTAGTTTGTATCCTACTCCATTCTGAGAAGCAAATACATTCCACACCCGTTTTTGCCAAAATCACCTGCTCTAGCTTTTACATCCTTAATGTCTTCTCAAAATGATAATGATATTCTTAATCTGTCATTATTTATCAAACATAGTATGAGACTAAGAAATGAACTGTTAACAATTTAAAACGCAACAACGAAATTTTACAATAGCCTGTCATTTTGTTCTCTCCATTATATGTATTGTATAATGTATATTATTTACAAATGTATATGTGTATGTGGGCCGGAAGCCTTAAATACAATAAACTCTTTTGACTTGGCTTTTTGACTTGAAAGATTACTTCAGGTACTGTGTGGACTATTTGGACTATTTGTGTGTGAACACGGAAAGTAATGCTAAACCTTGTCCCCAGTACCTCTGTACAGTTTGCAGTACTTTTTTATATTTCGGGTTTCCTACTAACACAGTTTGGTTGTGTGTAAACTTAAATGAAACGTTCTTTGTGTGATTATTTATATTGTAACCTCGGATTATATACCTTCCAAACCTTAACCTTTGTACTTTTTCAGCCCTCGTGATACGAAGCCATGTTCTCTGTACTATAAGCCTACAGCAGGGATGGACACTGGAAGCAATAATGTGGTTTTCGGCAACAGCATAAATGGAACACCAAATCCTTTTATTATAGATGTGGACAAATCAATGCCGGTAGAGGAAATATTGTCAAGTTGATCTATAGTAACATGTTTTTCACTCCCAAGATACAACAATGATATAATATAATATTAACTGTCTATCTTTCTATAGTTTTCTATAAAGGTTGAATGTACATATTAATGTGTCTCACATACTCGCTGTTGTTTCAATAGTCCTCGATAAAGATACAGGTGACCGTATATGATTACGACCAGAACAACGCAGATGATTACATGGATACTCTGGCAGCATTCATCAACATATCTGCCAGTCCAAACAAAATCATGTCTCCATACAAGCCATGTTCTCTGCTGAGTAGAACCAAGTAGGTCCATTTCACTTTCATCCATCACCATCCCTCACCCTCTTAAGCATATATACCGAGGATCGGGTACTGTTATTGAGCTCAAAAACGAGTTAGATTCTATAATAGACTTAGATATTAGCCGCATTTATGCAATGCATGTAACGCACGATTTGCTTAATAAGCAAACCTAGAGAGAACAGATAAAATATGAATTATGTATGTGGAATATTAACGAGGAAAGGTAAGACATTCATGGAGTAACCTAACAAAGTCACATGAAATCTTTTCTTCCTTTTTTTCATGTTTTTATTCCCATAAATATGTTTACAGACTTTATCTCAGTAGTACAGTACAGTACAGGTAGCTTTCATAGTATCCAAGTACAGTGTTTCCTTGATCACATTGTCAAATATCATGCTGTTCACAAATATGTAGAATGGTCAAACTAAGTATGTACATTAAGTGTAACATGTTTAAAGACTTACCTCAGTAGTACACTACACTACAGGTAGCTTCATAGTACACAGGTACAGTGTTTCCTTGATCACATTGTCAATATCACGCTGTTCACAAATACGTAGAATGGTCAAACTAAGTATGTACATTAAGTGTAACATGTTTACAGACTTACCTCAGTAGTACACTACACTACAGGTAGCTTCATAGTATACAGGTACAGTGTTTCCTTGATCACATTGTCAATATCATGCTCTTCCCAAATGTATATGAAGTGTTACATGTTATACGAGTCTGTGATAAAAGTTTAATTATTAGCAAATTATGTATGAAAGGAGGACCAGAAGCTACAAAAATTGGCATAATTACAATTAGAAAAAGCTATCATTTTTGTTGCTTCATAATATTTGATGACTTCTGCTTTAATATATGTAATATTCAGAGTTTGCTTTTTTACTGCTTTTTCTATAAATAGCTTCTTTAACGACCAAAATTACAGCATTCAATGGATTATTGTATTTTCTTTAAATCCAAATATAATACTCTCTAGAGAAAAATTATTTTCACCCTCTGAAACAGTTTTAAGCCATTTTTCTACTCCCTTCCCTTTCTTTTTCATATACACGCATTCAATCAGCGGGTGCACCATGGTTTCTGGATCTTGTCCGCAGAATGTACATAAGTGTGATTCAGATATTCCTATCTTATACAAGAAGCTATTTGTTGCTAAAATATTATTCACTATTTTAAATTGGAACCATCTCATATTCACACTCTCAGTACATCTATAAGACATCAGATTAATATTTCCTTGTTCTGATCTGTCAACTTTCCTATTTAAACACTTTTGACATTTTTCTTGGGCATCTGTACTGAAGTCTGGAGCAAATAAAATCTGATAAAACATTTTACTGACCTTTATTGTATTGATTATGCTGTATACATTATATGGGAGAGTAGGATCATATATCCTTTCTTGGATATCATTCATCAAACTTCTTTTTATATATCTCGCTATTGTGGACTTGAGCCCTTGATACAGGATAAAATTCGTTTCCAAATTATATGTTTCTATAAATTTGTTAAAGGAATAAATTTCCCCCTTTTCATTAAACATATCCTTAATAAAACATATACCCTTTCCTATCCAGTGCCTATATTCAACCCATTTGCCACTAATAGAAATATTAGATTTGTACCATAATGATTGAGTCTTTATGTCAGAAATATTTGTAATCTTATCATAGCATTTGGATAGATACAAACCCCATGCCGATACAACATCCCTCCCAAAAATATTTGTAATATATGGCACTAAAGTAGTGTTCATATATAAGTAATCCACCAATCATAGGGTATCTATTCCTGGGATGAAAATTCCAGCATGTTTGACCCAATATGACTTACTATACAGTCTTTTCTTTAGTTTAGGTATTGGTGTTCGTGCCTACTGTGATCCTGACTGGTACGGCTCTGATTGTCTGACATACTGCAAAGCGCAAACTACTGACTATTACAGTTGCCAGGCTTCGAGTGGGGCCAAGATCTGCTTCCAAGGTTTGTTATGAATAGTTTTATTGCACATTGTTCACAAATATCTGTTTCATAAAGTGGATGAAGAATGTAGTCTTTACTGCAGGATGGAAGGGAGATTACTGTAATCAGGACGTCGACGAGTGCACTGAAATGGTGGACGTGTGTCAACATGATGGCAGCTGCACAAATACACCTGGAGGCTTTCAGTGCCAGTGTGTGGAGGGAATCACAGGTGAATAGACAGTTAGTGGCACACATGCATTCTCGCATACTAGATTGAAGGTACTAGACTATACACGAAGATACAACAGTAATGATAATGTCACATGTAGACTTATTAAGTTAACCCATTAACCAAACGAATTAGAGCAAAACCAATAAATAACAAACAACATCTGTTTCAGGGAAGAATTGTGAACTTGTAACTAACCACTGTGCCCTGAATAAATGCCTGAACGGAGGGATCTGTAATGGAAATGAAACAGACTTCAAATGTGACTGTGATTTTCCATGGACTGGAGAAAAGTGTGATCTAAATGTTGGTAAGTGAATAAGTTGGAATTTGCAGTTTATACAATGTCCTAATGTTTTAGTTATCCCCGCAACAACGAACTTGCGGGGGATATAGAAAAGAGTTCCGTCCGTCCGTGCGTCCGTCACACTTTGTCCGAAGCATATCTCCTAAACTATTCATGGTAGCTTAACCAAACTTGGTACACATGTCAACAATGATCCCTAGATGTGCCTTTTGGGGGTTATCCCCAGATAGGAATTTTATTTTTGGCTGTTTCCATGGAAACATGACTGTGGCTATGAGAATGTCATCTTGTCCAGAGCACATCTCCCAAACTATACATGCTAGCTTCATCAAACTTGGTACACATATCAAGCATGATCCCTAAATGTGGCTTTTGGGGCTTAGACCCAGATAGGAATTTTATTTTTTGCGGTTTCAATGGAAACATGACTTAGGCTGTGGCTATGAGGATGTCATCTTGTCCGGAGCTGATTTCCTAAATTATACGTGCTAGCTTCATCAAACTTGGTACACATATCAACCATGATCCCTAGATGTGCCTTTTTGGGGCTTATACCCAGATAGGAATTTTATTTTTTTGCTGTTTCCATGGAAACATGACTTAGGCTGTGGCTATGATGATGTCATCTTGTCCAGAGCAGATTTCCTAAATTATACATGCTAGCTTCATTAAACTTGGTACACATATCAAGCATGATCCCTAAATGTGGCTTTTTTGGGCTTATACCCAGATAGGAATTTTATTGTTTGCTGTTTCCATGGAAACATGACTTAGGCTGTGGCTATGAGGATGTCATCTTGTCCAGAGCAGATTTCCTAAATTATACGTGCTATCTTCATCAAACTTGGTACACATATCAAGCATGATCCCTAGATGTTGCCTTTTGGGGGTTAGACCCAGATAGGAATTTCATTTTTTTGCTGTTTCCATGGAAACATGACTTAGGCTGTGGCTATGAGAATGTCATCTTGTCCAGCGCACATCTCCCAAACTATACATGCTAGCTTCATCAAACTTGGTACACATATCAAGCATGATCCCTAAATGTGGCTTTTGGGGCTTAGACCCAGATAGGAATTTTATTGTTTGCGGTTTCAATGGAAACATGACTTAGGCTGTGGTTATGAGGATATCATCTTGTCCGGAGCTGATTTCCTAAATTATGGTGCTAGCTTCATCAAACTGTGTACATATGTCAAGCATGATCCCTAGATGTGCCTTTTGGGGGTTAGACCCAGATATGAATTTTATTTTTAGCTGTTTCCATGGAAACATGACTTAGGCTGTGACTATGAGGGTGTCATCTTGTTGCATTTCCATGGCAACAAGTTACGCTTCAACTGAATTTGGTGGTAGTGTTCCTTTCTTGAGCAGATCTTAAAAACCTTTCGGTACTCCCCTTCCACTTTGCTGTATACTCTCCAAAACATTTGACATAATCATAACTAGCAGACATATTCATAAAGAGTATTTTGCCGTTGCGGGGGATACTGATGACTTTGTTTTCTCGTTGTTCTCCGCTTGACTTGTCTTAATATGACAATTTATGTTCATTGTGTTTCTCTGAAACTATCAAATATTCTTATATTATAAAGGGGATTATCTTTTATGAAACATATGTTGTATATTTTCCAACACCTTAGATTTCTTAACAAATATTATCTTGGGCAATGGTCAGCAAATAAACAACGATGTTGTTTTGTACTACTTTTTTAAGATATTACCAACATCACCGTCCTTGGAGTGATTAATCATAACAACAAAGGCAGTCTGATTACTGGCTTGAGGAAAGTCATCAACGATCTTGGAGGAATACAGGGGCAAGTGAATGTCGTGATCTCAACACATATCTACAGTGAAAGCATGTATGTTTATCAAAGGTGTTTCAAATGATTCCACAATGACATCTGAACACCTTCATACCTTCACATCCTCAGATGTTTCCAAACTCAAGATGTATCAGGGTTTCATTCAGCACACACTCATAATGCTATATATTTGAAGCAAACAATATTTTGAAACCATTTAATGAGGACTTAAGAGTTACTGAACATTGTTTTATTCAATAGCTACAAAAATATTTATTATTTCTGTTTACAGATATACCATGAAATATATTAACAAGTTCTTATTATTATTTCAGAAATATCACCACGCAAGTTCAGTTTTATGTGACACTGGAAAATGATGCTTTCCTAACGAGTGACTTTGTAAGAGAGATCTTTTCATCACACAGTGATGCTGACATCAACCAATACCTTCCCTTCCCCCTCTACCCAGCGAGGGACACAGATGACGAGGAGATTGGTATCACTACCCAAGAAAATATAACAGAGGTTGTTGCACGTTGTTGATATAAATATGTAGTGTGATGAACATTAAAAATGTTGCAATGCCTATAGACAAACATTATGTTATTACGTCTTTGAATAGCAAAGGTAAAATGCATTTAAATCAGGTGACAATATATTCCCCGAATGTTATCATAAATGCATTATATACAAATTGATCAGCTGTATTTCAACAAGCATACTCTCCCTTGAATCTCATCCGTCCGAAAATATATCTGTAATATATGCGACATTAAGGAATTGACATTTTGGATTTGTTTATGCATGTGACATGGATGTGATATCAATCTGATATCCATGTGTCTGTTACAACAGGGAAGTTGGTTCAAGAGTAACTGGTATAAGGTGGTTGGAGCTCTTTCTGCTGGACTTGTGCTGGTGGCACTGTGTGTATTATTCCTCATGTGGAGGAGAAAGTCGTAAGTACTGTGTCTGGGTTGGTTATTAACTGCATTTGACATTAATTATTACAATGTTTTTCTCATTATTACAAGTTTATTTACTTTTGAGGGTTTATGTTTAAAAATGCTGACACAAATATTTGTTGTTTTTATCTTTTCTCAAAATGACAATTGTCTTCACGGGTTTTAACTATATATGAATTTGTTGGATGTTTGTTTAAGGCATGGATCGGGACAAATGCTTGAAGACAATCAGGGAAACGTCATTGAAATGGATGTAGAAAACAGGACCGTGCAGGACCAGCACAGACGTACCTCAGGCTGTGAGGAGGACGCAAGAGCATCCACAGACGGATACACGCGTCTTGGAGCCGCAGCCGGACACAGCTCGCGTCAAGAGGCCGCTTCCTACATCCAACCATTTCACGACACGCTTCCTGGCGAGAACCGTTGTAGTCGTTTAGCTACACCTACACCAGACAACAGCAACCATGCAACACTTGGTAGCTGTGAGAAAGGATCCAATGACAACACTGTCATCAAGGAGGTTAATGTAGATGGGGCAACGGAGAATCTTTATGAGGACGTACATATTTAATAAACGTGTTTTGCAAAGGTTAAATAGGTATTGAAGCATAAGCTATTACTTTATGTACTAATTTCTCTGACTGCAATACACATTGTACTAGAAGTAGTAGTGCAATAGATCGTAGTTCCGGCTCAAATTCTCCTGGACGTGCAAAGGGTTTTGTAGATTAAATGAAACTGTAGACAGTAGTTCCACTTTGTATTTACCCTTGTCAGTGACACATTAAGAATTGCCCCTTGAACATACATACATAAATGTATATGACGTGATATTTTTTGGTCAGGATAGTGATGTGCGGTTCAGTCACGTTCGTGTGTCCACAGCATTTTGCAAACAAATTGTTTATACAGTAAACCTTCGTTACCTGTGACGTATACCAGTAGAAATGATTTGGCCCAAAAGACATGTGCGCGTTTGCTGTTAAACTCCTCACCCAGCAGTAGTTAAGCTGTATTGTATGAGAGCAGTCAGAAAATAATCAACACAGACGTGTTTCAATATATACAATGACGAAGATGTACTTTGTTGGCAATTATCCGTTTACCACTGACATTTTACTCCATCGAATTCTAAACACTCACCACATGCATAAAGTAATGTCATAGGAGAATAGATGTGACTGTGTTAAAAGTTGAGTTTCATATAGCTACACTTTCGGATCTGCTTATGTTAAGTCTACAGGAAGTATACCTCTAATATAGAAGCCTACTAGGTCTATTTCCAAACAACATCTTTGTTCAAACCATTTTCGAAAAGTACATATTCATTCATTCGTTCATTCATTCATTCGCTGCAGCCGTTCTCTGCAACGAAATTGGACATATTCTAATTATTCATCCTCGTGTACATGTGTATGCTTTGTTCAGTTCATGTTTATGTTTACTTTTTTTTAATCACAGACTCGAGTTCTATTCAACAAAAAACTAAGTCAAGGAAATTATCAGAAAACATGTTCTTTTTAAAAAAAGGTGTATTGAAACAAATACTTGAAATTTCCTAAGTATAATTACCACAAGAAAGTTAAAACAAACAGTAGGATGATTTATACATGTCCAGATATTATGTTTTTATTCATATGTATAAAGTTTCCTTGCATGTATGAATCTATGTTTCCCTTTCATATCCGTGACCAGTGTTCGCGACGGGCACTTTATCCTGTTTGAAACTAGTTTTTGTAATATATTAAAACTACCTTTGTGATTTTGTACTGATGTAATATTTCACAAATAAAAGTAACAGAAACACTCAGTCATCATGTTATGTTTATACACGCTATACTGACAATATTACTCTACATTTGGACCTAGTTCCTGGTCACTACCAGTATCGTCATTGTTTTGTCAGCCTCATGTTTTAAAGGTACAATTATTACCACAGCTTCACAAAGACTATGGTCAATATGAGCTCCAAGCAACGGATGGTTCTCGATAGAGGCGACTAAATAGATCGGAGACGTGGTCAATCTCAGTTGGTGGGTAAGGAGGCCGCGTGAAAAAGACCCTTACTATATCAGTTTAAAGGTTTGTTGGATGTAGACCTTTTTACTATATTATTCAATATAATATTTACAAATATTATTTACACGTTTCTCTTAAATACTTAGTAACTGATATCCAAATGACTGCAACACAACATTGACTAACTCTGTTATATTTCCGCAATAAACAATCAAATCGTTGACAATGTAGACAAGTGAATAAAGACTACAATAAAAATGACTCGAAGCAGTTAACAAAAAAAACCTCACAATTTTTATCACGAGTTTGTTTGATGTAGGCTCGATTTGTTTACTCAATTATATTATATACCTATGCTATTTACACGTTCCTCTGGAATATTTGCTTTTTAATTGCTGTCTGCAACACACCACTGACTGACTCTATGGATTTCCGTATGAAACAATCAAATCGAAACCTAACAATATAGAGTATACATAAAGGGTAGTAGTGAAACTAGAATACAAACGAGTCAGCAATTACCAGGAAGTGGTGAAAGCATGTTCGATAAGTCATTCAGCTATATAGTGTGTTTGATACACAATCCAAACCCGATGCCGGTGGCAAAGCTTATTCTTAACTACTTGGAAGATGAAGACGACGGGAGGACGCCAAGGGGTGACTTTACTTCTGTGGCTGTTAATAACAAGGGAAGGTACTTAATACCTTTATCACCGCCGTCTTGTAGCCATTAACGTCAATAGACTCGTGGACGCTTCCATATATCACACTGTGAAAATGTCCATTTCGTGATATGGTTACTGATCACATGCTAGAATATTGCCCACGTAAAGAGGGCTGACTGCTGGAACCTTGAAATCATTCCCCTTGCAGGACAGTCTTCGTTATTTACTTATTTCTTTATTGCTATGTAACTATCAATTACAATTCATGATTATATTTTGTGTTTAGTTTTGTTGGCTAAATCAGTGGAAGGGAATTTGATTTTAGGCAAAAACTGAACGATATCAGATTACCGATATACTTGAAACTTTCGTTAAAATGCTAGTCCAAATTTCCGTGTGTTCAACTTCAAATTGATATGCATAAAGAGACATACTTTAGCTGGAAGGGAAGCACAGTTGGTGGCCAAAGCTATGTTTACTCACTGTTTATGTCTTATCCGCAAATGTTACACAGATGTTATCGACGAGTAAGGCAGTTTTATTAGTAAATATCTGACGTGATGGCTTTAAAGGGACAGTGAAGTGTTTTTTAATGAACGAAGAGACATGTATATTGTATAATGTTCTTGTGGGATCGTGTATTCAAAAGAGTCCATACAAGATAAAATATTCGTCACCCATTTTGATAGTTTAAACCTCCTATCATACACCACATCAAGATTCCAGTAACCATGTCTCTGATTATATTATGTTATTTACACAAATTCTTTGTCTCATCCCCAAATTTCAACACATGAAGATCCGGGTTAGAATTGATCTTCAGTAAGCCAAGCTTGTCGTAAGAGAAGACTAACGGGTTCGGGTGGTCAGGCTCGCTGACTTGGTTGACACATGTCATCGTATCCCAATTGCGTAGAACGATGCTCATGATGTTGATAACTGGACTGTTTGGTCCAGGCTCGAATATTTGCAGACCGCTACCATATAGCTGAAATATTGCTGAGTGCTGCGTAAAACTAAACTCCCTCACATTATTGCCAAATTACACATATATTATCAATGAGGAAGTCCCACATTTCACAGATTATTTTTGTTAGTAATCATCACAAAAAATAATAAACTCTCCAGGACACGTTCTAAACTGTAAGTAGGCGGTGGGGTAGCCTAGTGGTTAAAGCGTTCGCTCGTCACGCCGAAGACCCGTGTTCGATTCCCCACATGGGTACAATGTGTGAAGCCCATTTCTGGTGTCCCCAGCCATGATATTGCTGGAATATTGCTAAAAGCGGCTTAAAAAATAAACTCACTCGATCACTCTATAGTGTAAGAATGTGTATTGTTTTTTTGTATAATCATGTTACACTGAATCAAACAAACAAGATATTTCCTCAATAGTATCGTCTTGAATTGACCCATCCATTTGTTTTTCCGAAAATGGAATGAGCACAATCATTTTCAATTGTTTATGTTTGAATTCTGAGACAAGTAATTCTTCATTAAATTGACATTTACGGTCTAATTATGAAAGTTAAACTCATGTGCGAATATATCTTCTTGCTTCGACAGCGTGCGAAGACTGACGGCAAACTGGACATTCGATTCATCAGTTACTGGTCGGATGGCAAGGAAGTCAGTGGGGATTGTTGTGACAATCATCTACGCGTGTGGTGTAATGACAAGTGCGATCCAAAGTTTACCATTTGCATTGATGGGTGAGGAACGTTTAATTTTTCAATAACAAAATATACTAGTAAGTGAAACACATTTTGAGTGAGTGAGTTTACACCGGTAATATTTCAGCCATATTGTGACAACAGAAACTCATAAATTAAGGATGAATATAAGAAGAATATATAAAATGGTGTCATCGAATGAGAGGATAACAACTAGATTATCACATATTTTTAAAACTAGTTTGTAAGCAAACGTTTGTACAAATCAAACTGTCAGTAGTACCACCGCTACACTGCCCCTTCTTTGACTTCAATAGAAAGTGCGGAGTCGTGCTTGTAACGCCAAATTTGTTTGACATTCGGTTTGAAAACCATTCTGGCTACATAAACTAGTGCCAACAAGTATACGCCGCAAAATATCACGTAAAAATATAAAAATAGAAATCAAGTAATCAAACTGAACCATGTCACACTCGTACACATTCTTTCCGGGAACAAACTTCGAAACAAGTTAACGAAAAACGCCCAAATGACGTTTTCTGATGTATGACGAAATGCACGTGCATACTGACGGTACAAAACTGCCTACGCGACACGTAAGCAACACAGTCGTAAAAAGAACACAAAAAATATGATACTTTGAAGGAATGGCCCAACAAGGAGCTCACCACACCGTCATAGCCAGCAGCTGTCATCAGA